TCAAAGGAGAGCAGGTCTGGGTGGGGGCCCTCATTGTCAAGGCTGGAGGTCCGTGCCCGAGGAGCACCGGCCCCCGGGGGCTCGGCCAGGTGGAGGGGGCTCAGGCTGAGTTTGAGGCCGTTCCTCTCGAGGAGCCCCGGGGAGGAGGCCCTCCTGCACTCGGTCGTCTTCAGCCTGGGCTCGTCCTGGCTGTCCTGGTGGATGAGGTCGGGCACCGACAGCGAAACCTCTCCGTTGGGCAGGGCCTCGCCCCCACCCGCCGTTTCCACGGGGGCCTCCGGCGGGGCGGCGGGCAGCGTGTCCCGGGGCTGTCCAGGAGCCAGCTCGGTCCCATACTCCAGACTGCTCAGGACGGGCTGCGACGAGATGAGCATGTCCTGCGTGGTCTTCAGGGCCCGCGGGGTTCGCTTCCTGGCGGTGGGAGGCGGAGGATCCAGCCGAGGGAATGCGTCTTGCTGGGCGCACCTGTGGGGTCGAGGACCAAGGGCAGGCGCGGGCTTTAGGGACGGCGACACCCCAGCTGCCCGCACGACGGCTCCCCACCAGCCAGCGCTTTCCTTTCCTCCTCAGTTTGGGGTGTGGGTCGTGACAGTTGGAGCATTGCTGGCTTTGGCCTGGCACCTCCCCCCCACCACCCCGCTCAGTGTGACAGCAGCAAAGTGCTGCGGCTGGGCCCCCTGGGGGCTGCATCATATCAGAAGCTCTGCAGGAGGCCCCGAGGAGGACCCTGCCGGCCCAGGAACGGTAGGTGTTTAAAACAAGGCAGGCTTCTCCCTCCCTTGCCCCTCGCGGCCCCCCAGACCCCCACCTTCCTCCACTACCACCCGCGGTGCGGAGGCCCAGGGGTGTGGCTGGGTGTTGGAATCCACCCGGGGGAGCTTTGGGCAATGCCTGGGTTCAAATCCAGCTCTGCCCAGTAGGAACCTCGTCACCCGCAGCTCCCCACGTCACCCTTCCAAAGCTGGTTCTGTGCAAACGAAAAACCACCCGGTGGCCCCAGGGGTCAGGTGGGCGAGCCGGGGGGCCGCGGGGACGGGGTGGCAGCCAGCGACCAGCCCCGGTGCATCCCCGAGCTCCCTGAGCACACCTGCCGCGCTCACCTGTCCTCGTCCCCCGCAGCCCCGCTGGCCAGCCGGGCCCCCGCCGTCCTGTTGATCTCCATGGCGCCCGCCCCGTCCAGGCCGGAGGGCTCCTTCCTCCGCAGGAAGTCATTAACTCTGGCCCCCACGGCTCTGCCCAGGTTCCTGAGGTGCTGGCTGCCGCCCACCCGGGGCCCCGGCCCGCCGGGCTCCACGGGCCCCGGGGCGGCCGCCAGCCTGGACGGGTGGGGGAAGGAGCAGCCAGGCTGCAGCCTGGGAGCTTGGGCCGCGTTCAGGTTCTCGAACATGCCGTGGTCCACTGCAAGCAGAGGGGAAGGCGACGCGGTGAGCTGGGCAAGTCCCTTTGCGTCCACCCCTCACACACCCCCACCCCACCCCGCCCCGGTCACTGCCCCAGGCCTTGGACGAGCATCCAGAAAGCAGCAGGGACAGTCCTGACCTGTCCAATCTGGTTTCCCCACCCGGATGGGCGGTAGGACCGGGAGTTTGGGTTCTGTGCCCCCCCCCTCCCGGAACGGGTGGCCAGCTCTAGCCATAAACCCCGTTCTCCCTCTACACCTGCCTCCTTGACTCAGGGCTTAATCCCTCCACCTGGGGTCACCACACCCCGAGGACAGAACGGTGAAGGAGTGACCCACCGCGTGTGTGCACTGCCGTGACCACCACTGAGCTGTCCCCAGCCCTGGGACAGAAGCTGGGGAAGGGGGGCAAGACGAGTATGAGGGTGGGGCTGGACGCTCCCCACTGGAGGCCACTTGGGGCGCACGTTTTCTCTGCAGGAGGAGGGGCTGCTGCAGCCGAGAGCCGCTAATCAGGGGCTTGGGGCCTGCTCACACCGAATCCGTGTGAACTGGGTGCCAAGGGAGCAGGAGGCACCTAAAATCGCCTAGGGTGGTGACACCCTAGGAGATGGGCCACGGGAGGAATCCTGTTTACCCACGAGGAAGGTGGGGCTCAGAGTAAGAAGTGCCTGCCCGGCCTGGGGTCACGGGCCGATTACGGGTGGGCTGAACGAGAACTCCGGTCCTCTCACCCCTTCCACTACTGGGAAGTCTGCCCGGGATCGCGGAGCGGCTGCATGAACGCGCCTCCCCAACGGCCCTTCTCTCGGGATCTTCCGTGTGAAAAGCTAAAGGGGCCACAGGTAGACTCGCTGGGTTGTCTACACTGGCAGGGCAAAGGCCGTGTCGCATTCACCTTTGTATCTCTCACAGCTAGCCTGGGGCTGGTATACAGTAGGTGCTCACGAAACATCCTGACTTGACCCTCCAGACCCCATCTGGCAGATGGAGGATGGTGGAGGCCGAGACCACAGCTCCAAGGTCCCTAACTGGAACGACTGGAGCGGAGGGCTCAACACAGCACCGTCCACACACCGGCACGGGGGGGCAGGGGGGGGTACCCTCCGCCACCTGGAACCTGGAAGTCAGGCTCTGTCCCGGAAGCAGCCAGCTCCAAGCTGGGGCCTTGGGAGCACACGAGAGGGGTCTGTCCCTACCAACCATCCCCAGTAGTCTGTCAGTCTGGGGGAAGGAGAGGTCACGCTCGTCGCCACCTGTTCTCTGTCCACAGCCCACACCTCCGGGTGCTTGGTCACGCTGAGCCTTCCCAAGGGGGAGGGAGGTTGGGGGGTTGCTGCTGCTTCCGCTGGGCTTTGCACAGAGTAGCTGTGTCCGCCCTGCATTGCCGAGCCCCGGGCCGGGGTGGGGGGGGGCATTTCCCTTTGCTGTGGTTTCCACAGACAGATCCCTTCTGCATCAACTAGCTAGAGAGGCTATAGGCCGGGGCAGGAAGCTGTGGGGAGAGTGGCTGCACCACCCCACACAGGGCTGCGGGTCTGGGGCACACACAGGGAACACGCCTCTGCCCAGGGGCCATGCTAGGGGCCTGGGCCACAGGTGCGGCCACACCAGGCTAGTGGGAGTTCCAGCCCGGCCCACAGCGGGGTCCCCGGCTCCTCACTTTCCTAAGAGCCCGCTTCTGCATACCCGCCCCATCTACGTCCCGTATCCCTTCCGGTTGCTCTTTGATCATAAATATCTATGAACCTGCAGAGAGGCCCTCGGAAACGAAAGCATTTAAAATCTTTTTTCCCCCCAGACTGGCAATTATTTGGACCACCATGAAACGAGGGCAAATGTTCAAAAGGAGGTTCACTGGGGGGAGGGCAGGTCCCGCACCACTTCCTGGCTCAGATACTTCCACGGGGGTCCCCTTATTGGTTGAAGGTGGATCTGCAGCGCAGACGTGCTCGATCCGGAGGGCATAAGCACCAAAAACACCTAAGTGACTGGTAAATTGTGAGCTCCTCTTATTTTGAAAACGTATTCTAATAAACAGAAGTAACGTCTGCATTACGCACCACGGTAGATCCCCTGGGGTCCTGCACTCTGCCCTTCAGAACGTACAGGCTGAAGTCTCACATAATTTATTTATTTATTTATTATTATTTTTTTTAGTCTCACGTAGTTTATTTATTATTTTTTTAGTCTCATAATTTATTATTTTTTTAGTCTCACGTGATTTATTATTATTTTTTTAGTCTCACGTAATTATTTTTTTAGTCTCACGTAATTATTATTATTTTTTTTAGTCTCACGTAATTTATTTATTTATTACTATTTTTTTAGTCTCACGTAATTTAAAGCTAGCCCGGCCTAGGCTCCCGTTACTAGTCCCTAAGTCTTCTGGGCAAACACACCTTGTCTCGATAATAAAACGGTGAGCTCCTAGGGGGGATGCAGCATCTCCAGAGATTTTTACTTTCTGCAGTGCTCAGCACAGGGCTGGCACGAGAGGCGGCTTTCAATACGTTGGCTCGGCTGAACTGGGTTTTTCATAGAAATGCTTAAAAGCGTCAAGCTTTGACCACGTTAGGGGCAGACGGTGTAGAGAAAGGGTCCCCAAGCCTTTTTCCATTTACAAAAGCCCCTCAAAGCCCCGTCTCCCAAGGTCAGTCCAGGAGCAGTTTGCTCGTCTCTCTTCACCTCCTCACCTGAAGCAGGTGCCCTGGGCCCCTTCCTGGCTCATGGTACTCACGGCCCCCACACTCTGCCCCTTGCACTAGAGAAGTGGTGGTTCAGAACACGGTGGCAATGATGGGAGGAAAAACGATGACATCCCCACCGGGTGGCCCGCCCAGCAGCACCCCCGGCATGCACACATCCAAGCAGAGCAAAGCATCTGTGCCGTTCAGTCATCCGTAAGAAAGACGGTCTCTTACCTGTCCGAGAAAGGGGCTCGGAAAGCAGGTGGAAAACAAACGAGAGAGAGAGAGAGACATTTTATGTAGTGACCAACCACTTGGGGAGTGTCACCTCCTGCCTGGGCCACCAGCAACAACGACATGCAAGACGGAAGCCCGGTTCCCAAGAATAGAACCAACCCCGGACAACCAGGTTCCCATGAACTTTTCAATAACTAGACCCAAAGAGTCAACAAGCAGGCGCCGACACAGCTTCCCAGGTGTTCCCCCAATATCTGGAGGCCCCACTAGAGGAAATCTGAACGGCTGGCAGTGGGGAAGAATTCAATGACCCCTGGCAGGGGGGAAATTCAAAATCTTCCCAAACCCGCGTGCGTCGCTCATTACTATCTTGTCTCGGTTAAGCACAAAAATCACCAGGTTTTAGAGCAGGAAGACGTCCCCCCATTCCAACTAGGTTAACAAAATAGGAAACCATGGCAGCAGGGGGTGGGGGGGTGGCCTAACTGCGCAGGTTGCCAATGGCAGGGCGGGGGCTCTCCAACCCCCAGGACCCCACAGTCTTTCTCTGCACCACAAGGGCCGAATCGAGTCCCAGTACCGTCAACGTCGCCAATGTCCACGGTGTCAGTTACATTCCAGCTCATTCTAAGCTTCCAAACCAGGCTCAGGGGGAGGCCCCAAGGGGATGAGGTTCTCCATACTGTGGATCTCGAACTCCAACCGGCTGGGCTCTCACACGCAGCTGGTCACTCACGCATCCACGGGCTGCAAGAGGCGGGCCGGGCCACCTCTTCCCACGCAGCACAAGCACACACGCATTGAGATCCCAGGTGCCCTAGGTGCCCAGTGTGCATGTATCGTGATGATCTAGAGCGGGGCCTCGCTCCAGAGTGGCACGGTCACCTTTCACCTTTGCTGTGCAGCCCTCCTAGGGTGCTAGGGCATCACAGGACAGAAGCCAAGCAGAGACAAGAGGCAGTCTTGCTGCTCTGGCGTTCAGTCTCACCAGCAAACTGCTTCTAAGGAGCAAAATGGTGCAGGGTAAGCCCCCCATTTGCGTGTTTTAGTCATTTGCTAAAAAATAGCACCGACCATTTAAAACACTATCAGGTCCCTACTCTTAGGAAGAACTCACTGAAGTCATTTAGGCACAAAGGGATATGACGCCTGCAACTTACCTTCGAATGGCTCAGAAAACGATGTATGGGGCGGACAGAGGGAAACGCTAAAGCAAACGGGATAAGATGTTAACGAGAGGAAAGCCGGGATGCAGAACGCAGGGGTGTTCTCTGTACGAATTTTAGCGCTGCGACTTTTTGTGACTTTGCAACGACTTCCAAAGAAAATGTGAAAATTACACCCCAAGCTTTTTAAAAACAGAAAGAACAAAACCATCTGATGATGGCAGAGGGTAGGCGGATGAAGGTGAAGCAACGCAAGACGTTTATTCCAGGAGGACAGGGGTCCCCAGAGTGGGGATGGGGGGAATGATGGCAAGGACACAAAAATGACAGCAAAGATCAATGGGGCGGGGTCAGCGGGTTACATCGCTGTCACGCCTCGGCCACATGCTCCCTCCCCACTGGGTATTCCAATGAGGAAAACGACAAGTCAGAAAAAAAAATCTTTACAAAGTTTAAGAGACTCCATCCGTCTTTGCAAAAGGGATGGCCTGGCCAGCGAGTGGAATCCTGTGACCTTGTGATGTCAGCTGCGCTCAGAATGTTCGTCCGGACAACCCAAACCAGCCTCTTGGGAGCCGGTGTGCGGTCTCCACACCCTACGGTAGTCAGAACATGGAGAACTTCTCACTCCTCAGCATTTCTGGACCTCGAATCTCCTCCTCAGCCCTGAGCGCTTTTCCTGACATTATGTCCTCACGTGCCACCAGCTTGCCAGGTAAACACTGGTGCCACTAGGGCCACAAAAGTGTGGGGTTTTTTTGGAAGGCTTTTAATTGCGTACTCTACGGGATCACGTTGCAGGACTATGATTTAGTGAGAAAGTCAAATTACACATGGGGAGAAAATAATTTTTCAAAATGCTGCGTTCATGGTAAGTAGTTCCTGGTGCATGATTCACTTCTGGCAAGGAAAGGACGGGGGGAAAACATTTGCTATCAAGTCCTCCCCCCCCCGCCCCCGCCCCCACCCCCGCCTCCATTCTAGACTTTCGGGTGGCCGTCTATGTAGAGCAGGTGCTAGTTTAGCCCTGTTTTGACAAGCCGGAGGAGAGGCAGCTCACGAATCCCTCAGCGGGATCCTAAGGGGCAGGGTCCCTGGGGAGCAAGCACAGCATGGAATCAGTGCGATGCTCCGAGGACTTGCTATTCAAGCTGTGGGCATCCCCTGGGAGCCCGTTAAAATGCAGGATCTCAGGCTGCCCCTGACCCGCACCCCCTCGGACCTACCCAACCAGAACCTACGTGTGTAACAACACTGCCAGCTGGGTCCTGGAGAAGTGTGCACATTAGAGCTTGAGGAGGCCGCTCTGTGGAGGAGCCGGCTCTCCTGAACATGCATGTGCCTGCACAGGGGACCCTCACACAGTCATTTACCAAGCTCGGCGCTGGCACCGCCCCGGGGTCTGAAGCAAGCTGGCTTTCTGTCAAACGTTAGCAGTCATCGGGGTGTTGCACGCAGCTAGGGTCGCCTGAACGCTCCCTGGCTCTGGGTGGGAGACGTTTCAATGGGAGAAACTGGCCCCTCGTCCCCCAAGGGGCCACGGAACGTAGCTGCGTGGTCCATGACTAGACTCCCTCCCGTGGACCCCAGAGGCTGGAATGCAGGCAGGCAGACAGACAGACACACACAGAGCGAGCGGCAGGAAGGTCAAGGGAAGGGTGGGCCCGGCCAAAGGGGTCATGTGGTCCGCCTCTGAAAGTCTCCCTTGAAGAGAATCCCCCCCAGACCGCTGGGCGAATGCCCCCTGGAACTTCCCGGCTCGCCATCCAGAATAGTTCTGCTTATCTGGGTGCAAAAGAGGCTCTGTTCTTCGGCTTTGCACGGTCACAAAGTCCCAAGGTAGAGCCTGTAGGTATGTTGGCGGGGACGGGGGTGGGGGGAGCCTACGAAGAGGACCCCCAACCGCGCTCGGCTCACCGGAGCGTTTCTTCCATAACCCAGACACCACAAAGAGCGCACCACCCCCCGAGGCGTCCAGCGCGGCTCAGGCCCCGCCAGCCCGGTACCACGGCAGCGTGCTCCGGCACGGGGTGCAGAACACACTCTCCTCTCCAGGTGAGGCCTCCTCTGCCCCGGGCGGGCGCGTGGGAGAAGCTGGGGGGCCAGGGGCTGCCCCACGCTCACACCCAACCCTTTCCTCCACAGACTGCATTTTGGGGGACTCCCAGAACGGGGAGCAGCTGAGGCGGAACTGCACCATCTACCGGCCCTGGTTCTCCCCTTACAGCTACTTCGTCTGCACGGACCAGGAGATCCACCTGGAGGCCTACAGCTTTGCAGAGGTGCAGCGGGACGAGGGCAGGGGCGACAGCTGCGGCCCCGAGGACCTGGCTGAGAGCATCTGCTCGTCCTCTTCCTCCCCAGAGAACACCTGCCCCCGAGAGGCCAGCCCGAAATCCAGGCACGGCCTGGACCCCGCCAACCACATCACGTCCCAGGACATCCTCACGGCCTCCAAGTGGCACCCGGCCCAGCAGAGTGGCTACAAGTGCGCGGCCTGCTGCCGCATGTATCCCACTCTGCACTCCCTCAAGAGTCACATAAAGGGGGGCTTCAGGGAGGGCTTCAGCTGCAAGGTGTACTACCGCAAGCTCAAAACCCTCTGGGGCAAGGAGCAGAAGGCCCGGCTGGGGGACAGGCTGTCCTCGGGCAGCTGCCAGGCTCTCAAGTAGCCCTGCCAGGGGGCTGGGGTGGCTGCCTTGTAGCGGACCCCTCAGGGAAACGGGGTGGAGCCTTCTCCAGAGAGACATCAATAAACCAAAGTTAGTCACAGCCGCTGTCAAGTCTGAGGTCACCCCAGCCCCCGCGGTCCCTGCCCGGTCCCCGGGGTCACATCCCCTGCCCCTTTGGCTGGCGGTTGCTGAGCAGCCCTAAGCCCAGCTGCCTGGCCCTCCGGCCTCCCCTGCCCCTCTCCCTGCTTGAGTTTGAGAACATCCTCCATGGGGGGGGCTTCCAAAGTGGGGGCACCCAGCTCAGCGGCGTCAGCATCCCCCACCCGTTTGTTAGCAACGGAATCTCAGACCTCAGAGTCGCCGCATTGGGAGCTCTGGGGGCAGCCCCACAGTCTGTGCTCTGACCGGCCTTCCCGGGGGTCCCAGGCAGCTCAAGGGGCTACACCACACCCCGAGGGAGAGCTGGCAAAGGGGAAGGGAGTGAGCGTTCCCCGGGCGGCACCTCTGCGCAGCAGGAAAGCTCCTTGGGGGTTAGATCTCCCCAGGGGAGGGCGGGCAGGACCACGGGCCCCTGCAGAAGGGGGGCCCACAGCCGCGGCCAGGCCCGTCCCCACCACACGCACCACAACCCCTCCCCTGGAAGGGGCACAAGGCCCAAACGCGACCCACCTGCTCCGGCCCAGGGGCACCTTGACCTGGCCGTGTTGTCCTGTCGAAATAGGCAGGTAAACGCGTGCAAGCCCTGCTTCCCGTTACCTAGTAAGGCTCCAGCAGGCAGCCTGACATTCACCCCACTTCTGAGAAGCCTCACTACCCACACCCACCCAGAAGCACAGGTGAGCATCAGGGATGCTGTCTTACCCATTATGTGGTTTAAAAAAAAAAAGCTGAATGCTTAATGGTCTATTTTTATATTTTTAGTCTAGTGTCCCCCCCAACCCCGTGGGCCCTCTCATGCAGTGGGGCATCTCCTATCGGGAGCCCTGGCACCAACCCTCCCCCCGCTGGCTGGCCAACAGGTTGGGGTGGAGGATCTCCCCGTCGCCCCACCAGGGGTCCCATAGTAAGTCCTCTGCTTTCTGGTTTAGCAGAGCTGCTTCTGCTTATCCCTGTCCGGCTAAAATGTCATTTGTGGTTCTTTTGGGAGAGGCTGGGCTCAAATCCCAGGATACCCAAGGCCGTGAGAATATTCCCCACACATTCTCCCCCCACCCTCTCCTGCCCCAGCCAGGGTCTCAGAGTGTCCTGGAACGGTGGGCTCCAAGGTCCCGGCCTGTCTGTGCTGGGGTGGGTGGCCTATCTAGGCAGCCCTGACGTCATTCCTGGGACCCCCCAGGGGAGGGAGCACAGGAGTCCTCGCTCTGACTTTCCCTTTCCCCAAATGGAAAAGCCACCGAAGCCCTTGAAGACCTCCGGTTACATGAGTCACTTTGCATGTGTATCGAGGGAGTACAAGGAGGGGCTCCCGTGGGGGCCTCAGGGCCTTCCCTTGGCCTGTGGGAGAATCAGGAGAGCAACTGGCTCCTGCCGGCCTCCCCCTCTCTGCCCAGCCCACACTCCCTTCCCCAGGGCGTCCGTATCACAGGCTCAGAGCCCATTAAAAAAAAAAAAGAAAAAGAAAAAAGAAAGCCATCCAAGAGCCAGGACTGAGCGTAGGGGCCACAGCAGGTGCACGAGTTCAGCGTGAGGACAGGTGCTCTCTGCCTTTCACACCTTTGACAGCATCATTGAGACCCCCCCCCCCCCCCCAGGAACTCGGTCAGGGCAGAGTTCGGACTAGAGTTCGAGCGCACAGAAAATGCACCACCTGCAAGTGCAGGGACCACACGGGTCCCCCGGTCTCCGCCCCAGCCCCCAGCCCCGCATCAGTTGGGAGGTGAGCTCTCTGGTGCCCTGAGCCACGGCCAGGCGCTCTGCTGGGTGCTCGTAAAACGCAACCTCACTTAGTCCTCGTGAGAGCTTCATGTGGTATAATTTACCCGCATCTTACAGGTGAGAAGATGAGGCTTGGTCCCATCACTCGGTGAGAAAAAGGCTCAGGGTTGACTGGACCCTTCCACCCTTCTGCACACCTGGCTGGGCCCGACAAACCCTCTGCCTTCAAAAGGGCTCAGAGTTTGGGCCGAAGTAACCTGGTTTCCGTGAGGTCGGCTTTCCGAGGCCCGGGGGCTTCTGTTTCTCGGACGCCCTTCCCTTGCCAGCATATGCCTCCTCCTCTGCAATCCCCCCCCCCAACCCCCCGACAGGACAGCCAAGAGCCCGCCAGCCAGGGCTCTTCTGCAGAGCTGCGGCAAGGGCACCGCGATGCTTGCGGGCAGGGGTGGGGAGGAGGATGGGCGTTTCTGGAATGGGCCCGTTCGGAAGCCGACCTATTGCATGTATTTCAGATATTTAGTCAAGGGGTCAGGGAAATTTTTACCATCTAGACGATTTTGGTCATATCTGAAAACATCTACGACGTTGCACTTTTCCGAGCACCACAAACTTGCTCATCGGCCAGAGGTGTCTGCAGTTGGGAAAGACCCGGGGTAGGGAGAGTCCAGAACGGTGGGCACAAGCTCCGTACTTGAGAGCCGCGGCACTACTGACATTTGGGGCTGGAAGGGTCTCCGTTGTGGGGCGGGGGCGGATGCTGTCCTGTGCATCGTGGGATGGCTTAGCCACATCCCTGGCTCCTACCCGCTAATATCAAAAGCATCCTTCCCCTGTTGGGACAAACCAAGAAGCAAAACCATGTCTGGGGGCAGGACCACGGGATCGCCCGATTGGCAAGGCTGCTCTAGGCACCCGGCAGGTGGAGGCGCCGCCTTCCTCCCCTCTGTTTCCTCAACACCCACCTCCACCCCCGAGAACTGTGCGTCGCAGAGCTGATGGCCACTGGCTGGGGAAGTGGGGCAGAGGTGAGGGCAAGTCAGGGAGCAGGTGGGATAGAAGAAGCAAGAAGAGACCATGGAAAAGCTTTTAGAAATAAGAAAGGTTTATTTAGCAAAAGCCACTAGACTAGTGACAACATCCAGGGAGTAAGTGCACTTAACATGAACAGAATCTTTTCCCAGAGAGTTGAACCAACAGAGTTAATGACACAACAGTTGTAGAAGTAGAGGGCTCAGGGTCGGCGGGGTGGGAGGAGGCGATGGGCAGAGGGGAAATTAAAGGAACACAAGTCCCGAACAGGAGCCGCCGGGAGAGGGGAAGCCAGGCGGGGGCTTTACAGAAGCACGGAGAGAAGCAGGGATATAAGGAGTATCGTTTTCATCCCAGTGTGCAGTCCGTCTGTCCTTGCTGGCCCTGCACCTGGGGGGCCTCACGGGCCCGGGAGCCCACCGGCCCCCCGGGGCAGGCTGAGGCGGGCGCCCCCCTGGTGTCCACTTGTCCTCCGCACAGGGCAGAGCAGCAGGATGAAAAGGAGGAAGCAGGAGTTGAGTGAGCAGAGCGAGAAGCAAGGAGGGAGGAGGAGAGGGTGACGTCGCTGGGAAATCAGGTCTGCGATGTTCTCTTTCCTGCCCAGTGGCCGCTGACCTGTCAAGGCCCCCAGATCCATCCTGCCTCCCTTCTCCACACCCCGGCGTGCGATGCTTTGGGTCCCGCTGGGGACGATGCCGACACGCAAACCAGTGGTCCGGGGAAGGCCCCCTCTGGGGGGGAGGCTGGGGCTGAGGCAGGTGGAGACCCCCATGGAGCATCCGAGGGCAAAGGTCCCGAATTAGTGGTCCACACAACTCGCCTCTTCACATTCTTTAAGCCCTCTCCTAAACCCCCCTTTTTCTCCTGCTTTGCAACCTTCTCTAGACCCTTCAGAAACCATCCCCCACCCGCTCCCCAAGCCCTCTCCCGCCACATTCCACAGACCCACCTGCTGGCCGCTGGCTCCACCCTCCACTCCTGCCTACACGCAGGGGCTTCCAGAAGCCAGACCCTCCGCTCCCCTGAATGCTCCACATTCTACGGCTCTGAGAGGCCGCACCCAGGGGAGGGTCTGGGAAGCTGGCTAGGCTCGGCCCCACCAGATCCCCGACACCCCCCCTTCATTGGTGGCTCTCACCTTCCTGGTTCCTCCTCGGGCATCTGGCCCTACTTCCCTCCAGTGGTTAACGAGAGGACACAGCAAAAGAAACCAGCCCCCTCTCCAACTAAATACACGTTAGGAAAAGAACACAACTCTGCTGTCGTTCAACGCCCCGAAGATTCACATTCTCTTCTCTGTCTCCACATCCTCTTCTCACAGGCCCACGCGCACGTACACACCTTCCCTCCCTCACACGGGCAAACAAGCATATACGTACACATGCACGCACACACGGACACACCGCATCCTCTTCCTGCCGGGACCCTGGCGCGCCGAGGACGGCTGCCGTAAAGCTATGTATTTCCTTGCATTTGGACTTTCTAGTCTCGAAGAAATCCAGCTGCTTAAGAAAAGGGCTACGCTTCCATTTACACGGATCATAAAGCAAAGTCAGGGCTGGAGACCGCTGTGGTTTGGGTAACCCCATCCTTACCCACTAACCCTCCAAGAACACTGCCGTCTGTCTGGGTCTGTAGCTTGTCCTCCCGGGCAAAAGACTCACTTCCCGAACACGGGACCCCAGCCGTGGCTCAGCTCTCTCTCGAGGTGATCTTTCAATCCGCTTAACAGCCGCTCGTGGCCTAACTGTGGCAAAAAGGAGCTTGGGCTCCCGCCACAGTCAGCCCACGGTACCGGGGGGACCCCCCCAGACAAGGCCCGGGTGGTCAGAGACGAGAGAATTGCACGTGGCACTTTTCACAAGGTGTGCTCGAGGCACGCACCCAGAGACGGGTCACGGGGGGACACGGCCCTGGACCCTGACCGAAGTGGCAGTGATTCTGAAGAGTGGAATCAGTCTCAGCTACCAGCCTATGTTTGGTGTTTTGCTTGTTTTTTTACAAGTCCCGAACAGGAGCCGCCGGGAGTAAAAACTGACCACTGCTGCCCGGGGGAGGGGATGGGTTGAGAGGTCAGGAGGGGAAGGTCCTACAAGAGCCTCAGCTGGCACAGCCCCCGAGGCAACACAACAGAGGAGAGGGCAGCTTCCCAGCCTCCAGGAGGATGAGCTGGGCTTGCAGGCAGGAGGGGGGCAGGCCTTCCACACTGAGAACCAGACCTAAGTGCCTGTGGCCGCCAAGGGGCCGCCCATGACGGCTTTCCCAGAACAGGCCTGAACGACCTTCAGCTCCCCGTCCCCCTCCGAAGCAACCCTTAACATCCACCTGGAGAAACATCCAGATTCAATTCCTCCAAAAGCTTACCCGACATGACACATCCCAACTCCACACTCCCGCCGAAAGCACCATCCCGTCTCTTCCCACCCAGAGCATCCAGCCTCTATCACCACCACGGCCTAGAGAAGGAACTCCTTTCGTAAGGTCAAGGGAGGGTTAGGCAACCGGTAGCATCGTCGATATCCAGACACCCAGGACCTGAGAAGGTTCCTGATGGCTTCCCTTCACCGGCAGACCCGGAGAGGGGGCGGGAGGGGGTTACCGGGCATCCCAGGAGGTGCAGGGCAGAGGAGCCTGAGGAAGCAGCCCGCGGGCAGCAGGTCCTTGGCAGCCTGGTGGTCCTCAGGAGGGACCCTCTCGCCGAGCCAGGGGCCCTGGAAGGCCTGCCCTCCCCCCGAAGTCACAAGCAGGAGGGAGGGGTCCATTCACCTCTGGGAGTCCCAGTTCTCCCTCACTGGACCCCCACAGCCAAGTCCTAATCCTTTCCTGAAGCCGCAGGCCCTCCGGGGCCCCAGGCTGGAGCCCACATGGCTCGTCCTCCCGGGTCCTCACTGCCCTCCGCCACACGGCATCCTCGGCAGTGTGCCCGGCTGCACCCCGTGGCACCCCGGCTGCACCCCAGATGCACCCCGTGGCAGCCCGGCTGCACCCTGGCTGCACCCCGCGGCACCCCAACTGCACCCTGGCTGCACCCCGGCTGCACCCCGTAGCACCCTACACGGCGATCTCGTCGTCCAGGCTGTCGCCCAGCTCCTGCCTCTGCAGGACGTTCAGCAGGCGCGGCAGCTCCTCCTGGGACCACGAGTCGCGCTCCTCGCTCTCGTCCGTGTTGGACTCGTACTCCGAGGCGATGCCCGACTCGCGGAACTTGAGGAGCTCCAGGCCCCCCAGCAGCGGGCCCGCGGGCGGCGGCAGGAAGCGGAAGCACTCCAGCTTCACCAGGCAGTCGCGCCTACCTAGGGGGCTGCCGGCGGGGTGGGCCAGCTCGCTCAGCCCGGCGCCCGGGGGTGGCGATGGCAGGTCCTCCGGCTGCGGGGTCGTGGGGTCGCAGAGCACCGGCAAGCCTCCAGAGCGGAAGGTGATCTCCAGCAGGCTGTCCTGGGAGCCCACTGGGGGCGGGGGGAGAGCAGGGCAGGCGGGTCAGCGAGGAGAGGGGGGCTGGGGAGGGGAGGAGTGAGGGGAGGAGGGGGAGAGGGGGAGGAGGGGGGAGGGAGGACAGAGGGGGGAAGGGGGGAGGATGGTGAAAGGGAGGAGGGCAGAGGGCAGAGGGCGGAGGGGAGGAGGGGGGAGAGGGAGGGAGTGGAGGGGGAGGGAGAGGAGGGGGAGGAGGAGGGGGGGAGGAGGAGGGGGAGAAGGAGGGGACACTTGCCTGCCTGGGGTGGGGCGTGGGGAACACACCAAGCGGGGAGAGCAGGGTCTCCGTCCACAGAGACCCCTAGAGGGGCTTCCAGTGCCACCAAGTGTGGCAGCTGCTCCCAATCTGAGCCTCTGCACTGCGTTAGCAAGAGCCCAACCCTGGCCGGACCCCACTGATTGGACCCCACTGATCGGGACCCTCTCTGGGCTGGACTTGGGAATATTCATGTCTTAGAAAAGAGCCAGGGGACAGCCTGAGGGAACTACTGGTCTCGTAGGAAAAACATCCGTTTTGCAATCAGACCTGGGCTTGAATCTTGGCTCCACACCTGGCTGGTCCCGTAACCTCGAGCCAGCGACTTCACCTGCTTAGGAGTCTGACTGGCGTGGAGGATGGGCACAGCAACCTCTCCTGCTGCAGGGACCAGGTGAGGTCACGTCTACGAAGCTCTGTCCCACTGTCTGGCACGGTAGGTGGCCAGTGGCTTTGCGCTGGTCCACAGCCGGCACACATTTAGAGCAAGCTTGCGGGCCACAGACCATCGAGAGGAAGGCGTGCAGATGCGCCTTCCAGGGCCTTCCAGTCCAGCCCAGAGGCAGCCGGGCATCTCAGCGCTACCCGGCCAGGTCTTTTCTGCCTTCTCAGCTAAGTACACGACTGCTACCAGCATGTTCTATGCTACAGAGCTGCAAATACATAGTGCGGGGAGAGTAAACTCCGGGACGGTGTGAGGTCTCCCACGGAGCTCCCAGACAGCGTGGGGCACAACAGGTGCTCGGTATCCTTCAACTGGGAAAGCCCTCGAAGGAAGAAATGGACTGCCTTAGGACGTGGAGTGTCTGAGCCCCTTTGGAGAGGAGCCTGGATGAACATGTGGCAGCAACTCCCGGGGACATTCAAGGTCAAGTGTGGACGCTAGAAGGAGCCAAGATCCTCGCTGACTCTGTCATTTCCTAATTCCATGAAGCGGATGGACGGGACAAACAGAGCCGCCTTTGTTTCGGGCTACGATACCAGGGCAGGTCCGGGGCCTCCTACGCTACCACCAAAGGCTTCAGGGAAAGGAGCAGGTGTTTTCCAGAGTCCCCAGGGAGGGTGGCGAGGCTGGGCGGGGCGGGGCCCTCACTTACTGGCGTTCTGTCCTGACAGCTTCAGCTCCAGCTCCTGTACCTGCTTCACCAGCAGGGAGATGTGCTGGAGCATGTCCTTGTTCTGCAGCAGGAGCTGGTGCACGCGAGCCTGGGCCTCCAGCCGCGCAGCAGCTTCAGCAGCCAGCTGGTCCTTCAGCAAGTGAACCTGCAGGGAGGAGGGAGAGGAGGCGGGACAGAGGAGAGAGGGACAGGGTGCAAACAGGAGTCACTGGGGGATGCCCGGGACCAGAGACAACTTCCGTGTTCAATTCAAGACAAAACAGCCCTTCTGGGGCGAAAGGGGCACCTGGGCTTGGAATTGGGGAGAAGTGGCCCCAAGAAGCTTGGTCACTGGCCCTGGAGGTCTCTCTGTGTGTCCCGGGTGAGGGCTGCGGTGTGTCACTCACCTACGGCGTGCTGGGGGCCCCGGGGGGAGGGGGTCTGTTCTTGGTGCGAATATCGGGTACAGAGAGAAAACACGGGGGGAGATGGGGCGTGATTCTATCAGGAACCCAGCCTGAAGAAACAGAGTCACAGGGCACCGACCATGTTCACGCATATGCGATTCTGGCGCTAAGTGGTGGGTACAGGGGTCTCTGTCGAGGGTTTTAGGGTTTTAGGAGGTCCTTGAAAAAAGAGAGCTAATGAAGTTGGCCTGGACCAAGGCAGCCTGTGGGAAAGAGGGTTTCCTTAGACCAAAAATCCGGTGTGGACAAAGAGGCAGGGTGACTGGGGCGAGTCGGGGAGGGAGGAAGGAGAGGGCTCGGAGCAGCAGCTAGCTGACTCTTTGCTCAGACAAATGCTCTGGATTTCCGAGGAGCAGTTTGCTCCCAAGACATGCACGCTTTATCGGGGAGTAAGAGCCCGTAGCGGCCCCGTCCTCTGGCCGAGGGACCTGCCAAACTCAGCGTCTGCCCCTTCCAGCCGCCAGCGCTTGGAGAATCTCGCTCGCTCTTGGATGCAGCAGCTGCTTCCCTCCTGGCAGATTTGAGGACCTGACCTTGCAGTTGGCTCTGCTTCTAAGTGGGAGCCACTAATGAGATTAGTTGCCACTTTCCATTAGTGGCTCCTAAGGTCGGGCCTGTCTTGCCCCCAGGGGAGGATGCCGAGGGAATCTCAAGTAAATCTGTCCTCCGTAAGGTGCTGCTGAGAATACAGCGGACATTCCGGTTTAGAAATCAGCCTCATTTGCTGCCTCCTATCAACTAAGGAAAGATCTAGACAGCGATGAGAAGAGGGAAAGAAGCAACAATAATATTTTGATCTGGCTATCAGATGGTGGGTGGCTTGAAAGACTTTATCTTCTTTGGAAACTGAGGCACGGAGGCATTTCACCTGAGAGCACTCCCAACCCCCTCAAATCCTGCTGCTTCTGAGAAACAGGACAATTGGCATGGGAAGCTCCCCCCCCCCCCCCCCCCGGGAGGGCCAACCTTAACCTTCCATCTGGGAGTAATGCAGCTTATTCCAATCAAGAAATCAAGACTGTCTTTGAAAGGAATCTACCGAGCAAACAGAATTGTTAATTACCCATTTTCTGTTTTCTTTGGGAATGAAACAGAAACATGAGGCAGAAATTTGGAACACAATTTTCAATGCACGTAAACAGAAAAAGACAAAATTCTACATGGAGCTAAGTGGCATCTGCGGAGGGCTCCCTGCGCGCACACCGTGGACTCGGGTACTTGCACCTGGCCCGTGGACATCCCGAGACAACAGGCCATCTGAGAGCCCTAGACCAGGAGCTGGAACGTTCTGGTCTCCCGGTGGCTCCCTCCGCACCTGTAGGTAATTCACCTCCACCTGGACCTCACTTTCTCCACCTCTCACCCTGGGGGCCTGCCCAGAGGCTCAGGCTGTGGACAATTCCAGCACTAGAGGCCACTTGCCAAAGGCTCACTGGAGAAAATCCCTAGATTCCCATCCTGACATCAGAGAGTTAGGAGTGGGGGCCCCTCCTGCAGAAGCCGGGGAGGGGAATAGGGGGAGCTGCTTCGGCAGGAAATCAGGTTCCCACGGCAGAGGGTCGGCAACGCCGGAAAGCCGGCCCTTGGGCCCCATGCTTCCTTCCACCCCGTACTCGGTGCCACGAGAAAACACTCCCGAGTCAGGGGGCCGAACCTGGACCGGGCCCGGCTGAGACGAGACGGCCCCGGGCTTCTTTTGAGGCCACAGTCCCTGGGTTTTGCACATGTAGGTCTGGCCTTGGAAGCATGGAAATGAGGCAGCGTTATTTTGGGGCCTGGCCTGCGCACCCTGCTGCGGCTCCAAGGGCTCGCTTTCTGGGCGATAACATGGGAGGAGATTCCACCCCGCCTGCCTACCACGTGGGCCAGTTACTGGTATTCCACAGGCTTCTCTTCCAAGAATTAAACATCTTTTTTGCAAAAGCAGGGCTGTATTAATCCCTGAAGAGGCGCGAGGCAGCTTCTCCCTTCCCGAGAGCTATGGGGTCTTGGGCGACGACCACCCCGCCCTGCATTCCTGCCGCAGCTCTGCAACCCTGCACCCCCCCGGCTTGGACCCCCCCCCCGCCCAGCCCACCCAGCCCACTGCCCACTCACTCTCCAGCCTACTTGCCTGGACTCCAGCTCCTCCATGAGAAGTGGGGGCAGGGCCAGGCTGAGATCAGGGAGCAGGCACATGGAAATGGCGTGGAGAGAACCAGAGCAATTTGCCGCCCCCCCCCCGCCCCCGCCCGCCCCCCACCGGACACACAAGCGGAGGCAGGCGGCGCTGTCTCGGCATGCAGGAGGCCGGGGCTGGGCAGCGCACCCCGGGAAAGCCTCAGGGACAAAAGGTAGGTTTGGGCCTGGACGTGGGGTGCGGGAGTGTGGTCAGTGCTGTGTCTCTAACTACAGGACCCGTGATGGCGAAGCAAGAGGAACCCACCACTGGTTTCTGAATAAGCATAAGTGGCACGGGGTAGGGGAGGAGTCTCGAAACAGCAGCAGCGCGGTGTCAGACCGTTCTGGAGCGCTGTGGGCCAAGCTCATGGCCATGCAGGTGCCGGCGACAGCCCAGCTCGGGTTCAAGGCTTGGCTGGGCGGCCAGTCACACCCTTGAACTTCTGGCCCAATGGAAAACAGGAAGCTAGCGCAGCCAGGCAAGCCTCATGCTGGGTCGGGGAAGTAGGTCAGAAGGGCCCGGGTAGTCACTGTTTCCATGCTGACGGCTAAGCTAGAAATGTTAAGAGTTGGTTCAGCATCACCCTTGCCCCTGGGCCCCTAAGGCCAGGGCAGGCTCCTCTAGGCCAGCTCTGAGCCAATTTGGGGACAGGCTGGGAGAGATCCGAGCAGGAGACCCAAGCCCGGTCCCAGGATAACAGCAGAACTGGAATAGCCTATGACAGTACATGGGGGTGTGTGTGGACCCCCAAGAGTGCACCTGTTGGCAAGCCACTCTGTATCCTTCGCTCTACCTGGAAGGGCCTGGATGCTCCCAGAGGAAAGGAAAACGTGTTCCTACCTCAAGGGCTGAGCTCATTGTTATTGCTCACTGGAATTCTGGGGACTGTTGGCAGTTTAACGAAGAAGAGAGAAACCCTGCAGTTTGGCGGCAAGAGAGTTTGACACGAAGAGTAAAAGCTGACCTGATGCAGGACACTGAGATCAGTCCCACCACGTGCGAGATCTGCTCCATCGTAGATGCACGAAAGGTGTCAACAAGACCTATTAAGCCACCTCTGTCGCCTGTACGATTGCTTTTACCCAAAGACACAAATACTAATAAGAAGCCCTTGGATCAAGGGCTACAGAGAGAATGGGGGAAAGAGAAAGTTGTCACAGGAGAAGGGCTTAGGGCCGAGCGTGCTGGAGGACACAGGCGCTGAAAGCCTCGGCTACGACACATCTGCCGCGTTCCCAGGCAGCAGACACAGATGCAAACAGAGGGTCTGCCCAGAGCCTGCCTCTGGGCACGGCAGACAGTGCGACAGGCGCATGTTCGAGAAGCGATCTCGGACCTTCGGGGTCCTGTCCGCCTGAAGACTGCAAAGGCACCTGACCCTACCCGTCGTCTCGTCAGGACTGACGCACTGCGCTGGCCTTCCAGTCGCATCACGGCCCGAACGAGAGTCAACCGGGCACCACCGACCGCATCCACAGATCGTGAGTCAGAGGTGAAGGGCTCCCAGCCCGTGCAAGTGGCTGGAACCGAGAGGGGCTCACGAAGGGACCCGCAAGCATCCTGCTCTTCCCTTCCCCGAGATCCACTCTCTCCCAGGAGAGAGACGGTCAAGACTGGGCATTGCCGTCCCACTGAGACAGACACCAGATTCTGCACCAAACAACCCCTTAGGGTTTCAGGCTGCCGGTGGTAAAGTCATAAGTCGCAGGCCTCGTGGCTTTGCAGACCGAACGCTTCCACGGACCATCACAACAATCTCCCGGCGGAGATGATAGGTGTGCACACAGCTTCTCTTGCGTGTTTAGCAGTGACTTCAAATTCAAATGACTCCCTGATGATATCCATCATGAATATGCATCAAGCCCTTTCTTAGATAAATAATAATTACTTGGCAATTGATATGCTGGAAGAGAGAAAAGTATTACCGTTGGAGAATGGATTTGTATTCAGGGGGAAACTTTGGGAAATGATGGGATTCGTGGAACGGCCCTGAGCGGGAGCACTGGGGCTTTGTACTCCTGTCAGCCGCACGCCAGGGAGGAGGGGACTCTGGGGACCGTCACGTCACCATTAAGGAGACGAGATGAGTTCTGTTATTTGACAAAGAGCCATGATTTCCCCCGCCCCCCCCCCCATATATGAAGCCATTAATGCCATTCCTTCTTTTTGCTGCTGTTCTGGAGACACTTGCAAATGCTTCTAGCGTCAGCACGTGGCCTTTTGTTTTATGGTCACAATTTTTTTAAAAGGCCCCCATCCTTGAGTAGCCGTACCCCACCCATGCTACACTCTCTAACGCGGCTGCAAAAGGCCTCTGTGAGCCTGGCCCCTCAGGCCTGGTCCATGTGAGATGGCGTTAGATGGTCTTCTCCAGAGCTAAGTCACAGCAGATCCTGGTCCAATCAGGCCGCCAGTGCCTTCCTTCTCAAGGTGTACATGTGGGAAGGGGCAGCTCTATCAGGGTGACCCCTCCACCCAAGGGTCATGAGAAGAGTAAGCAGGAGAGACAACAGGGATTAATAAGTGCTCCCCAGAGAAGTCGGCTCCCTGACATTCTAGAATGCAGAAGGCCCTAGAGGTCAGCCTGGTCACACAGATGGAGAATGCCAGTACACTGAGCTGCCTTTCTAGATGGCTCACCAACCCCCCAGCCCCGGAGGCCCCACCCTCGGCCTCAGAACTCAGCCTATGAATGGACGAGCGGTCCTGTCCTCGCTGTTCCCTGATCGCCCACCGTGGAGGTGAAGCTCAGACGCACAAGTCCCAAGGATGATGTGGACCGTGATGCCCTCCGTGGAAAGCAAGCAGAAGGAGCCCCTGCCAGAAGCAGCGAGGGGAACCAGCTCACCCCTCCTCTACAAGGCAGCGGCCTGACAAGCCGTTGGTGCTCGAACAACACTTTCCTCCTGACATCAAAGTCAAACCTCACGTAGCTCAAATACGGCACCCGAGGTCCTGACCATTAGATCCTGTTACAGCGAATCCCAAGGCCAGGATGCTAGCAAATCCTGCCTCGAATAAGCAGAGGCCTGATGCAGCTCTGGGAACTTGGATGCACAGGGTGGTCTTTGCAAGGGTGTTTGGCACAAATTTGTACCTTAAGCTCTTTTAAGACTGGTTTCACAAGGTCACACCTGTCCTGACTCCAGGCATCCCTTCCCACCCCAAACACCAGGCAAAGGAGGCAGGGAAGGGGAGGGTGGAGTTGTGTGCATCTTGTTCCTCGGTGACTTCAAGTCCTTATCCAACAACATCCAGCCAAGCCAGCCAAGCCCAACTCAGAGCGGGGGATACACGGGAAACCAAACGTTTCCTCCCAGGTCAACGGCATCCCCTCTATCCCCCTCTTCTCCCACAAGCAATGATCCAACAGCATGAGCGATCCCTTCCGGCTCCCTAAGTTCTAAACCTGCCCCTTGCCCCTCGCTAGGGAAGGCGTGTCAAGCCCATGAGAGTGGAGCCTGAGAGGTAGGGAGGAGGCGGAGGAGAACCTGGGCCACAGCCACTTGCGTCTGCTGCTGCTGCTGCTGGAGGAGCTGCTGGAGGAGCTGCATCTGGTGGTGTGTGGACAGTGGAGTCCCTGGGCCCAAGCCTGGGGGCTTCGAGGAGCAAGAGGGAAGGAGCATCCTGGGCGAGGCTGCCAGCATGGGCTCCTGGGGGTGGGGAGAAACCTGGAGGAGAGAGAAGACAGGCGTGACCCCGGGCAGTGGCTGCTGTTTGACAGATGCCACGAACACAGGCGGGGTGAGTGAAATGCCCACTTGTAACCACGGGTTAGAAATGCTGCATCCCTACAGGACCCTGGGCCGGGGTCACTCATCGGGAAACCCTGCTTGGACCCTCAGTAGCCGCCCCAGTGTGATGGAGGCAGGCAGTGGCACCTGCCTCTCATGCTACATCCAACGACACCACACCTGGATGCAGAGGGAGCCTAGCCACCTGCCTGCCACCCCATTACGAGACCGGGAAGAGGCCAGCCTCCATCCTCACTCTGCTGCGTCTCTGGGGCCCCTCCTCCAGGGCCTGTGGGGCTTCTCAGGGCTGCCCACTGGACCACGGGGCTGTGTGAGGGGGGCCACTCCAGCCGGCCCTCCTCGCAGGGACAGCCGCCGGTCTGGACAGACCCTCTCTAGAGGCTGAACACGGTTTCTGTGCTGTCCCCGGGGTCTCCCTTCTGGCGGGCGGGAACTGTCACTAAGACGGCTCATGTGATCCATAAATCAAGTGCAAGGAGAGACGTTTTGTGTCTGGAGCTCTGCTGCTGCTCCTTCTTCAGACATGCGGGAGGGAGGCACCCAGTGGCAGGCAGGCTCTTGGGGTTTGCAGCAGATAAATGGCCCGAGAAAACGTCAGGCAGGGCGCCTGGCTGGCTCAGGGCTTAAGGCTCTGTTCTTGCTCAGGCTGGGATCTCCCAGTCCTGGGATCGGGTCCCCATCGGGCTCTCTGCTCAGTGGGGAGCCTGCTTCTGTCTCTCTCTCTAACCTCCTCCCCTGTGCTCTAATACATAAATAAAACTAAAAAAAAAAAAAAAAGAAAAAAAGAAACAAAGAAAACAGGCAGATGATGGGGGACCCTACCGGCCTCCAGACTAGAGACAGACTTCTCCCGATGAGCGTCCCCCTTGCCCCCACAACCTGCCCCAGAAGAGGCTGACCCCCGACAGGGGGAAGAGCCGCTAGGACATGAGGAGTCCAAAGGGAGCCCCGCTTCCCAGCTCTCTCCTTCTGGGATATTCCTGTGTCTTCAGGTGGAAGGTGCTCAAGTCCTTAGTTTCCTGGCCAGGATTCTATCGGGAGTTCCTTGGGTGCCCCGTCATCACCGCAGCAAGACGTGCGGTTGATGATGATCCAGGATGCACGGCTTTCCAACCCCCAAGGGGCCAACTGCAGGCAGAGGGGCCCGAACCTACTCTGCTCCAGCCGCTGGGCCCAGGGATGGGTCACGGGGGTGTGTGACAGGGTGGGCTTTGGGGGGCACTGGGGCGGGAGGAGCCGCCACCTAGAGCAGCACAGCCAGGGGGCGCTGAGGGGACCCCCCAGAGGGCAGCACCACCAGGGGCACCGAGGGAACCCCCCCAAGGGAAGCGCAGCCAAGGGGATGCCCCAGAGGGCAGCACCGCCAGGGGTCACTACAGGGACCCCCACCCCCTGAGGGTGGGGTGTAACCCCGTGGCATGGGGACACCCTCCAGTGCCGGGCTGCGTGTCCCAAGGCCCCCCCCCCCGCAGAGGAGCAGAAACCTGCCCCTGCCACCCCGTGCCCCTCACTCTGCAGCTGACCCTGCACGGGTGACACGGGCGACAACAGGACTCAGAGCAGCCAAGGCCGCAGCATCTGCCGTTCCGCAGGGCGTGCAGTCCATGGGACGGGTCACCCCCCACCTACCTTAGGGTCCGGGTGGGAACCTCCTTCCTTCCCGACAGCATCAAGGTCGGTGACCCCTCGGCTGAATTCCAGGCCGTCGTTCCCGGGGAGCGGGCCCTCCACTGCGTCGATGTCTGTCTCCTCTGCGGTGGCCGTGGACGCCCTCTCAGCCCCGGGGAGCTGTCGGCCTGCGGGGGGACGGAGGGGACAGAGGGGATGGGGGGCGCCGCCAAGAACTTGGTTGGTGCTGCCCAGCCCGCCCCGGGGAGGGGGCATGTGACAGATCTGAGGCCCGCACCCCTCGGAGCCGGGCCCCGACCTTGGGGCCAAGCACGGAGGTCAGGAAAGGGCCTGCGGCGGGAAGCAGCGCTGGGGGACCAGAGGGGTGGCTGGCTCTCGAGCCTCGCCCACCGTCTACACCCCACTTTTCGCCTCCCCCCTGGAGGCGGCGGCTGCGCTCAGCGTAGGCATCAAAGTCCTGCCATTTCTCAAGTCCCTTCATCCCCGGTTCCTTTCTGCCTCTGGATTCTATGAAAACCTGGCGATTCCTTGGCATTTCCTGGGAGCGATCTTCCTTTCTCTACATTTGGCGTTAGACTCCCTACTACCATACTCAACTAAGATTGCTGAAAAGATTTCGGAAACCAAGAACCGAGGGTAAAATGGAACGGGGCTCACGTCAGCAGGAAACGCGGGGAGCCAACTCCCTCCAGGAGCAGCCAGGCCTGGGTCAGCGGAGGCCCTGCCTTGCAGAACAAATACTACTACTGCTTTTTTTTTTTTAATATTTATTTAAGTAATCTCTATACCCGGCATGGGGCTTGAACACCACCCCAAGATCAAAAGTTGCCTGCTCTACCAACCGAGCCAGCCACGTGCCTCTGGAACAAATAGTCCTAACACGTCTCCTGTGCAAACCCACAGGAGTCATCTGGGGAAGCAAGCCCGGTGCTCGGAAAGGCAACAGGGTGCTTGGCTTTCCCTCCTGGCTGCTCAGGGACCTGGGACTCGGCCCGGCAGGGGGCGAGCAGCGGGCAGGAGCGCAGAGGGCAGGCTGCTTCCCACCACAGCCCCGCGGCCGGAAGGGGCCTTCCCGGTGGCTACGACGCTGGCCTGTGACACAGAGGGCTGGCTCGTGGCTAGTTTTCAGCAGGTGGATGGGACTACAACGTACGCATGGGTGCTCTGTGCCAGTGTGGAGACGAACAGGGTGAGATGCAGGTACGTGAGCAGGTCCCCAGCATCTGTCTGTGGGTGCACCTGGCATTGGGCGCCTGGCCGCCTGCTGCACCCCCTCCCCCAGTCCTGAGGCCCGGGCTGGGTCTCACTCCTGTTTCCCAGGGGTCTGGCACGGGGAACGTATTCAATAAGCACTAACAAGGGAAAATCGCGTCATGACAGGGGAGGGGGCTGCCCCCCACCCCGATCCTGGAGTCCCTAAACACACACAGTGTTTGGAGACGCCCAAGCCAGAAGTCTGGGAGGATCAGAAACTCTCAGGTTCCGGCTCTGCTTCTCAGGGAGCCAGACTCCGCCGCCGCCGTGCGTGGGCGACGGGAGGTCCCAAACCAAGGCCAAGGAAGGGGACTCACAAGCCACGGGGCTGCTGAGAGACTCCCTGCCACCCCGTGGGCTCTCGGATGATGGCATCTGATGTCCTGGACCTTGCCTGTGGCTAAAGGGGGGGTCAGTACGGCAGCAGACCTGTCAGAGCCACGAGGGCTCTGGACGCCGTGCCTGTTGGCGTCTCCGGTAAGCCAAGGCCTAGACGGTACACCCACAGTGAGCGGGCTTCCTTAGTCCTGACCGACAAGGGGGTGGCGATGTCGTATTTGCAACTTTCCCGGCACCAAGAAGCTTAAAGGACTAGAGTCGATATGCAAAACCCTCAGCAACCCCGGCACGCTGCAGTCGCCCCTGGAAGAGGGAGCTGCGCACCTGTAAGAGGCTCGGGGTGGGGGTAGCGCTGCTTTCTGAACCGCTGAGCCTATTTCCACCCAGGATGAACTCAACTCTAGGAACCGCCGGGCAGACCCGATTTCATTTACTCAGTTAAGAATCTGTAAAGCACCTGTATGTGACAGACCCACCGGGCGTGTAAGGATAAGTGAGCCAAAGGCTTCCCCAGCCTGATAGAGGAAACACACGAGGCAGCAGGACGCCGCAGGAGCCCGGGGACCCGCAGTGGGGGCTGTCCCGGGTGCGGGGTGACAGCTAACCAGGGAGCGGTTAGGGCCGCGCATGCGGAGGGGCCAACACTGCCTGAGAAGGCTCAGCAGCTAAGGCAGGTGGAGAAGCGGGTGTGGGGCGGGGAGCACGGGGGAAGGGGGTAGTCACTGCAGGCGGGGGGCAGAGACATGGCCAGTGGCTCTGTACGGAGGGACCCGAGCAGGAGGGCTCGGGATTTTATCTTGACAGAGCGCAAGCAGGCAAGTCATACCAAGGGATTTTCATCTTTTCACATTTCAACCTCAGAGACGATGTGGAGCATAGATCTAGAAGGACGACAGAGAAAGCAATACCCCAGGTGGGAAGGAGGAGGGCTGACATCAAGGGGGTGGCAGCAGCAGAGGAGGGAACAGATTTGAAAGGGGGGCAGCAATCACACGACAGGGTGACAAACTGTGGTGGGGGAGGACGGAGAGCAGTGGGGAGGGGAGTATGCATAGGAGTTCTGAAATTTCTGAATTAGGGGACCTAGTCGGGGCTGGTGTCCTGTTGGGAGGTTTCAAGAGGAACAGAGTAGGGGCACCTGGGGGTTCAGCAGTTGAGCGTCTGCCTTCGGCCCAGGGTGTGACCCCGGGGTCCTGGGATCAAGTCCTGCATTGGGCTCCCCGCAGGGAGCCTGCTTCTCCCTCTGGCTGTGTCTCTCATGAATAAATTAAAAAAAAAAAAAGAAGAGGAGGAGGAGGAGGAGGAACAGGGTTGTGGGTAAGAGGACACGCTGGGTTTTCAACCTGCTGGAATCACAAGGTCTGTAACAGCCGAGTGGAGATACAATCAGCTGTTGGGTGCGGAAGCGGAGAGTTCAGGAAAAAGGTCTGGCCTGGAAAGAAACATCAGTTGAAACCACAGAAGTCAGAAAAGAACAGCAGGGACGGAGCCCGGGAGAGATGCAATGGATGTTGCAAAGTGAGGAGCAGATGAAAAAAAAAAGGCAAGGTGGTGTGTGCGTGCGTATGGGGAGGTGCCCCCCGCCTGTGCTGAACCGGGCACAGAGGGCTGTCCGTTTGCTAGCGAGGGGCCCTTCGGTGACCTTGACTGGTGGTCTCGAGAAGGGCTGGCAGGCAGCAGACGCCACATCCCTGGAGGCTGAAGGGATAATAGGGGGCGGGGGTGCAGGGAAGAAGCTGCACGAGTGCAGATGAATCCGGCAAGAAGCCCAACGATGAGGGAAACAGATAAAGCTGGATGTGGTTTTGTTTTGAAGATGAGAAAGGCTTGACCTTATCTGTGTGCAGTGAGGAAGGAGTCAGCCTTGGCGGAAGGCTCAGGTGACCTCCGGGCACGGACAGCGGTGGCGGCCTGGCGCTCAGGAAGCAGGTGAAGGGTTGTCCCAGCCGGGAGGAGGGCTCTGGCCACAGGTGGAGGCCGGGCACGTGGCCTGCAGTGGCCAGGCCGAGCCGGGTGACCCCAGCAGCCGGGGGAGGAACCGTGGAAGGCTGCTCTCAGGGGTCTTGGGGGGGCCCGGCTGGCGCCAGGGGCTCAGCGCCCAGCCGCCCTGGGTCAGTGCACAGCTTTTTTCCATGTCGATTACACAGTGACAAAATGGGCTTGTAAAAGCACGAAAGGTTACCCGCTCAGTGATGAAGGGCTGGAAGTGGCCACTTTTAGGCCTCAAAACTGCAAGAGTGACAGCTTGAATGTACACGGCACGTCCTACAGGCCAGGCGCTCCTTTGCGGGGTCTCACCTGTATAATCATGCATCCTCAGAAGCATGATGCCCTCAGGGGGCACTGACAGATAAACTGAGGCACACGGTGGGGAAGGAGGGCGCAGGGGTGGCTCCAGGCCCGGTGCTCGGAACCGCGGTGGCACCTGCTGCCCCCGACCCCCAGTTTGCAGCCCACACCTGTGGCCCACTGTACCTCCTCGTCTTCCTGCTTCCCCAACTTCGCTCTGTGATCTTGTCCATCTGTCACGGGTCTGTACCCATGAGCGAGGTATCGGGGGCCCGTTCGGTTGCCCACGGTTTACCCAGAATCGAGCCTGGCACACGGGGGAAGGAGACAAACACCTGTCGCCAGAGGAGGACGCAGGGAGAACAGAGGATGGGGCAGCAGTCCCTGGGGATGGAGAAGCAGGGGCGGCGGGACCCGGCAGTGCGTTTCCAGGTCTGCACAAGCACCACATCCAGGTCGGCAGGTGCGACAGGTACACAGCAGGCAGCCCAGGCAATCCACCGCTCCCCGTCTCGATGGCCAGTTCTCTTTCCAAGCAGCTCTATTCCTCCAAAGGGCTCCGGGCCCTTGCCCACGCCGGATGGCTGCCGTGGGAGGAGGATGCCTCCCGGGGAACGGGACCGCTCCCGGGAAACCCTCTCCAGGAGTCCAAGAAAGCACACAAGGCCAAGAGCAAGGCGAGGGGAAGGGCAGCAGCGGCCCGCCTGGCTCGGAGCCCCAGGGACGGCCCAGGGCGGCCACTGCCAGAACGTACAAAAGACAAACCTCCCCGAGGGTAGGGAACCGTGGAAAGAAGGGGGGGGGTGCAGGCGGACGGGGGAGGCGGTGCACACGGTGAAGGTGAATGCCGTCTGAAAAGCATGGCTGGAACCAGGCTGGTGACGGGCTGGCATCAAAGACACCAAAGCCTGTGCACCGTCCAAGTCCTCCGAGTGTACGGGTCCCCCGGCACGGTGGCGGGCCTGCCGTCCCATCGCGTGGGGGCGGCTCCAGCGGAAAGATAAACGCTGCAGTAAATGGAAAGCTTCCAACTAATGTGGAAGCGAGATTCTCAGAAAAACAAAACAAAACAAAAAACAAAACAAAAAACAAACAAAAAAAAACCCACGCACATGCACACCCCAACAAGCAGTTCTACTGTGGTGCCCCAAGGTGCCCCATCACAGACAAAAATCCTAACATGGTCCATAAAGGCTCCTGGGGGAGGCACTTATTGGAAGAAGAGACGTGTTCCTTGTGGTTGACGGCCCATGAACAGGGAAAGAAATAGGAAGGGACTATGGGGCCGGGCAGTAAGCAGGTTTCCTTGAGGAAGAAAGGCTGCCCAGCCCAGATCCGTGGCATCCCAGACACTGGTGCTCAAAGTAGGCTTAGCCCCGTGCGAGAAACCCTGCAATCAGAGGGCACCCTAGTCATTTGACTCAGACCTGCCCTAAAGCCAACGGGACCTGAGAGATGCTCCTGTCTACCTCCTGCCCTGCAGAGATGGGGCAGGTCGGGCACGCCAGACCCAGAGCCACAAAACTAGCTCATGTGTCATGGCCATCTGAGTACAGTTGGCCCCTGAGCAGCATGGGGGTCAGGGCTCCGACCACCCCATGCAGCTGCAAATCCACGTGTAACTTCTGACACCCCCACAACTTAACCTCATGGCTGTGTCAACAGGCGATTAACACGTATTTTGTAGATCACAGGTAATAAGCTATATTTCTAGAATACAAAAGCTAGAGAACAGAACGTGTTGCTAAGAATGAGGGCCGTCGGGACAGGGAGTGGGTAGGGTTGTGGGAGCGGGGCCTCGGGGCGAGCAGAGACAGAGAACTGATGGTGACAGTAGCTGTGGGGTTGACACCACCGTGGCTGTGGCCGCCCGGCTGTAGCAGATGGTCGCATCACAGCAACGGGCCCGCTAGCCACGGTACCTCTCCTCTTACCACCTTTTTGGGGACAGTTTTCTCAAATAACATTAATATACATGAGACCTCGGCGACCTGGCTTCCCCCGCATACCACCGTCCCTAGGACGTTCTACATGTGCAAACATCCAGTCCGGTGTTGTTTCTTCAAAGGTTAAGACGTCAGAGAGTGGAGAGTGTATTCTTAAGAGGGTCACCCATGGCTGGGATGTTCTCTCTGTATAGCCTCCTGGCATCCCTGCAGAGCAGGCAAGTGACAGGGCCTGCCCCCTCCTTGTGTAAGTGACGCAGCCCTGCAGAGTGATGTATATTGCATCACGAAAATACACATACACATGGCAAGGAACTGGCTCGTGTGATCATGGAGGTGTGGCAAGTCCAAATCTGTCAGGCGGGCGAGAGACCCAGGGAAGAGAGGCAGCCCAAGTCCAAAGGCCATCCGCTGGCAGCACTCCCTCTTTGCTCTATTAAGGCCTTCAACTGATTGGTTGAGGCCCATCGACATTATGGAGGAGGCTCTGCTTTATTCAAAGCCTCCTGATTTCAATATTAATCTTGGGGCGCCTGGCTGGCTCAGTCAGCGAAGCATCTCCCTTTGGCTCAGGTCATGATCCCAGGGTCCTGGGGTCAAGCCTCAGGCTGGGTTCCCTGCTCAGCGGAGAGGCTGCTTCTCCCACTCACTCTCCCTCTTTGTCTCTCAAATAATTAAACAAGATCTTTTTTTTTAAATGTTAATCTCATCTGAAAAATACCTTCACAGCAACATCTAGAATAACATCCTATGTCCTATGTGTCTGTGTCTGTGTCTGAGCTTTCTGTTCTGATCCGTCCAGGGACACATTCACTCATCGGTACGGTTTTACCTAGTATGGCTTGACGTTCTTCTGTCTGCAAAGCCACTCATCTGTCATCACTCCCATCTTTTCCAGAAATTTTTCTATTCTTATTTTTCCATATTCGTGTTAAAATAATAAAAGCTAACACGTATCTGGTGTTTGCTACATGCCAGGCATTTCACATGTATCTGCTCATCCATTGTCACAGTGATCCTATGAGGCGGACACTGCTTTATTCCTGTTTTCTTCCAAAGAGGAAACGAAGGCCCAGAGAGGTTATAAACTTGCCCCCAAATCACACAGCCAGGGAACTGGTGCCACCAGAATGAAAACCAAGGGTCTGCATGCTCAAGCCTGGATGCACCCTCCCCTGATGGATGTCCCCGCCCATCCCTCCGTGCCCACCTGTGCAGGTGCCTACCTGGATCCCCTGAGCTGCTGCTGTTTCTCTCGCTCTCTCCATCCTCCTGGCCGTCGGCATTCTGCTGCGTGTGCTGGAGGCTCAGCTTATGGCAGACCTCGAAGGCCTGCCCGACCGTCCGGACGATCCGCATAGCTTGGCTCTGGGAAGGGGAAAGGAGATGAGCAAGTGAGGGGCATGAGGACCCTTTGCAAGGGCCCAGGAAAGGTGATGGATGGGAGAGGACATGCTAGGTCCTGTGTGGACAGAAACTCAGGGGGCAAACAAAGGAAAGAGCTGGAAAAACCAAATGTCGCGCTGATGTCCACATGCTCACAAAGAATAGGGCGGAGATCTTTTTCCTGAGATGGCCCTGAAAATAGAAACTGACCACAGTTCTGCAACAGTAAGTCCACTGGAAGGACAGACAGCAAATACCCCAATTCTGGGCTTAGCCCAGGCCTCCTCCCAGGTATAACAAAGATGGTCGAGATACTTCCGAGTCCTTGGCCAACCACAGTCAAATGTTGGATGCATTCACCATACTCCAAGAAACTCAGCCATCACTTCTTTCCTGCTGGAAACGGGGCATCTCCCTGGAGCCCCAGCCCCAGGGGTCATGGGGGAACAGGGCTGGGAAGCCACCATCTCAACAGCAGAGCCAGCAAAGCCCAGCATCCAAGTCCCCGGACCACCATGGGCCGCGAGCTTGACCAAGGCGGGCCTTCCAATCTCGCCCTAAAGACATCACTCATCGCTCACTCAGCTCTGTTCTTTGGCTCTTTCTCTTTTTTGTTTCACCTTCTTTCTTTCTCTGTTGGGGCAGAGGTCGGGGGGTAAGGAGGCACTGAGGAGCTATTTAACAGCCCAAGAATAGAGCCTGACCCTAGCTCTCAGCATTCCACTTCTTAACTCAGGAGAAGATGGGACGAAGTCTCTTCCCCTACAGTCTCAAGTCTGACCCATGCAGGCTGAGAGGAAGAACCACAGCCACGGTTCTCGGGGCCTGGCCTCCAAGGTGGGGAGCTCACGGACTGTATCCTCAGTCAGCTCTCATTTTCTTCCAAAGCCCGAATCCAGTACAAGCTAGGAAGAGTTTACACACGTGGGCTGGGTGAGCTCAGCTCTCGGTCCCCAGGGGTCCCCAAACATCCCACCACCACAGGCAGCGGCTTATCTAGCCATGGTTGTCACCCTGTGCCTATGTCTGGGATCAGCTACACTGTGGATGATCTGACTACAGGTCAGCTGTGTCACCTGGTCACGTTCCACACTCACTACAGCATCTGCGGCTCTCAAACCTCAGGGTCCCCTAGGGAGGACATGTGACAAATTCCACCATCCCTGCCCAGTGTCCCTAACTAGCTTTGAGGTTGATGCTAAAAGTTGAAAGGCCCTCAAACAAGTGTCCCCGCCCCCCTGCATTAATCTATAGGATTAGACAGGGCCAGGACAGGAGTTCTAATCTTCTCTTCAAAAGGGAGCACTCAGATTTAAATCCAACAGGAAGTGACTTTTCAGAGGATCTGCATTTCTTTTTTAAAAGATTTATTTGAGAAAGAGAAAGAGAAAGAGAGAGCGCACGCTTGAGCACAGAGGGAGAGAGAAGCAGACTCCCCGCTGAGCAGGGGGTCCTATGCGAGGCTCGAGCCCACCATCCCGATATCACAACCTCAGCTGAAATCAAGAGTGGATGCCCAACCGACTGAGCCACCCAGGGGCCCCATGCACCTGCATTTCTCACACATCCCCAGCTGGACGATGGAACACACATCTAAAGAACCTAGACTACGGCTCACGTCTCTGCCACCTTTATCAAGGACAAACAGAGGGAACATCCTGATCGATTTCAACCAATTATTTACAGGCCCAAGATGGCCGGAGGAAGAGGGCCTGGTGTCAATCCTTGGTAGTCTTCGTGCTTCCTGTTTCCATGTCAGTACACTCACTGTCATAAGCAGCTGACCCTCCCCTCTGATTCCTTGAAGACGCAGAAGATGTAGGCTTTGGGTTCGCCCATCCTGCCTCCCCCCGTGTTGGAAATGGAATGGGGGCGAGGCTCCTCGCCTCAGGCTCCCACTCCTTACTGCCCACCCTTCGTGACAGCTGTTCTAGGGACACCTCTGTGACGTCAACTGAGAGAGTGAATCAGCGATGTCTACAACCTCTCCTCCGACACAGGGGCACGTATCCGGCTAGCATGCAGGAGAGCACCTCCCACGGTGCTTGGCATACACCGAGTGCTCAGAAACAGGTTTTGGTGCCAAAAGGCAATAAAGACAGAAAATAAGGGACGCCTGGGTAGCTCAGTGGTTGAGTGTCTGCCTTTGTCTCAGGGCGTGATCCTGGGGTCCTGGGATCAGTGTTTTTTTTTTTTATAATTTTTATTTATTTATGATAGTTACACACAGAGAGAGAGAGAGAGAGAGAGGCAGAGACATAGGCAGAGGGAGAAGCAGGCTCCATGCACCAGGAGCCCGATGTGGGATTCGATCCTGGGTCTCCAGGATCGCGCCCTGGGCCAAAGGCAGGCGCCAAACCGCTGCGCCACCCAGGGATCCCCTGGGATCAGTGTTGTATCGGGCTCCCGCAGGGAGCTTCTCCCTCTGCCTGTGTCTCTCATGAATAGATAAAGTCTTAAAAAAAAATAAATAGGAAAGGCTGAGCTTACTTTATCAACTTCAGAGACATAAAGATATTAAGAGAATTGCGTCTTCCCACGTACGTGAGCATCAAGGCGGCTGAACCACCCTCTCTCCCCACAGCTCGCAATAGAGGAGCAGCCCTGGGCCAGATGGTCTTCAGTCCGCACCAGGGCAATGGTTTCCACCATGAGGAAATTGTCGGCCTAGGGTCCTAGATGTGCACATTCACGCTAACCGGTTTCCTTTCAATTTGTGCTTTGCTCCTCTTCCACGTATGTTATATTTTCACTTAAAGGGACACGGTGGCATGTTCCACAAAGAGACCTCCGACCGTGAACATGGAATCAAGCTACGCGGTGACCTGCTTTACAGGACGACCACAAACACTTATGAGAACCGGCCTCCCCGCTCACCACTCTTGGAGTTGGAAGAGGTCAGATGGCTCCTAATTCTCAGAAAAGGCTGTGTGAGTTCAGGTGTCCTCTGACTTATAGGCTTGCCTCCCTTCACTGCTGAAGAGTCTACTTTTGGTAGATTCCTATGTAAGGACCTCATTGGGAGAAATTACTCGAAGGTGGTGAGGAGGGCCAGCCTGCACCTGGCAGGGTTGTCCCTCCCGCCACTGGTGCCATCTGCTCTCTGCACAGCCATGCTGGCTCCCGCCTGCTGGGCCTACCCCGCCCAGGGCCCAGGCCTTCTGGCCTTCCAAGCAAGAAAACTGGTTCTGCCTGCCGCCTTGGAATGCAGGACTCACACATACTAAGGCTTAATAGCTAATAAGCCCAGTCTAAGCCCACGAGGGAGAACTCTCGCTAAAAGCAGCTTTCAAAAGAACCCTTTTCATAGGTCCCCATAGGTCACAAGGCGCTGCTTACATCTCATGACCACAAACAGGCCTTTGGAAATCAAAGTGGAGATTTCAAGATGTGAAGGCAGCCGGGTACAAAGCAGAACAAACAAGTGGCACGTTGGGAAGGCAGCCTTGTCCAGTTGGAGAAACTGGCCATTCTCTGGAATCGACTAGCTTTTTCAAAAGCATCTCTATAACTGCGTTATTTCTGCATGAATCCAGTTTAGTTTCACCTAAGCCCTCTGAAGACCCTCCGCCACGTGGATCGAATCTTCTTGTCCAAAAAGTCATTTTTCCATCAGCACCCCAAAGCACTCGTGGGCTTTGAGTTGTCAGGATTAGGCTGGATATGGCTGCTTTGATGGTTTTCAGAGCTGGGAAGGACTATCTAACCTCCCAGTGGCTCTCCGCCACAGATGGGGGGCACGACAGCTCAGGGGAGGGCCGATCACAGGCAATTTTGTGAAATAGGCCTGGGAAGGAAGTGGTCTTACAACTTGATGCCACTTACCCTCATGACACGGACAAATGGCTTCTTTAAACCATTTTACTTATTCATGCTGACAAAGCCTCCTTCCCCCTCGCCCCTAGGCCCTCCCTCAGTCCAGCACAGAGGTCAAGACACACCCAACAGCTGTCCTCTCTAGTGTGCCAACTGTGGGTGTCAACGACACGCCTAATGGGCGTCGCTACCTGGTGAACCGCAGCAGCCACCGTGAACTAGCACCATGTTCTCAGGGAGAGTGGGCGGCTACTCAAGAGCACACTAGAGGCTACGGTGGTAGCTTCAGGAAGATGGAAATCAGGAGGTTGATCCCCTGTACTCCAGGGAGCCAGGGAAAAAATGACAGTCGGTCATGATTTTATCTTCTGTTCCCACATTAAGCGACCCTGTTGTTGGCTGGCCCTGTAGCCGTTGGGAATCTTCTGGGTGCTACACACACGTGCAGGATGGTAGCTATTCGTGTGATGCTGCAGCTGACTTAACTAACTACCTTGGGCACGTTCCGAATTTCACTGTCCTGGAAAAAGCTCAATATCACAATTTCTGGAGATGACGAAACAAGTCCTCAGGTACATAAAGAAAATGATGAGCAGAAGCCCCAGAATGTAAGGTGCTCATCATGAAGATGAAGATGCTGAAGGCAATGGTAAGAAGAGAGAAATGTGGGGCACTCTCCTTATTAGTCTCCGTTCTCTCTGCTCTCATCTACCGCCCCCTGCCCCCCACACTGGAGACCTGTCCACCGCATGCTTCGGCATTCCGGGGGACTGAAGTCCAGTAAGTCAGGTCCAGGACAGCTCCCAGGCTTCTAATTCTTTTTTTTTTTAAGATTTTATTTATTTATTCATGAGAGACGCACAGAGAGAGAGGCAAAGACACAGGCAGAGGGAGGAGCAGACTCCATGCAGGGAGCCTGACGTGGGACTCGATCCTGGGACTCCTGGATTATGCTCTGGGCCGAAGGCAGGCGCTAAAGCTGAGCCACCCAGGCGTCCCCCAGGCTTCTAATTCTTTTCATCTCTCACAGCAATAACGTCCAGTGCCCTTACCTTGAGCTGAACTACCACAGAGTCTCAAAAAAAAAAAAAAAAGAACTGAAGATCATATTTCTTTAATGTGTTTTTCCCCCTTTTTTGAACTGTATCTATTAAATGACTGAAGTGTATAGAATTCACAATGCTGAAGCAAGAAAATATATTTGGACTTCTACACAGAGGAAGATCCAAGGGATGAAGTCTCTGAAATGGGAGATGGGTGAGGATTCTATCCAACAGGTTACAGGATGGCCTTGATCTATAATTTGATGGAGGCAATGCCTGGGACACTAGAATATTGCTCACTATGGAGAAAGCTTAGTTTCAAAGTGAGTGTGACTTTTGACATTGACAGGAGACAGGGGATCTTAAAATTTCCAGTAGACTGCTGGGTTCCTCCTTGTACTCTGCTAGTCAGTGAGCCACAGTACCATAGAGCAAAGGTGGCTGGGTTACAACCTCAGTACTGACAGTAACCGCCCAGGTGACCATGAGCAAGTTCATTTGCCTTTCCAGGTGCTGAGTTCCTCATCCATAACCAGAAGTTTGGATCAGATGAGTTCTGAGACCTGGGATTTCTGTATTTTGACCTCCCAACCCCATCCCATCACCCCAACATTTAAGACTCTTTCTCTAAGCGTAGGACCTTCCTCTCCTTCATCCTAAACTTGGCCGGGCAAGTGACTTATTGTTTAGCACATGACTGTCGTCATCTCTCAAAATCCACTGCAAGCTCTCAAGGACAGTGAAACTTCTCAGCTGTGGCCCCTAATCTGATGGTGACAGCATTACGGGAGGAAGTAATTTCTCCCAACCCAAACCAATTGAGCTGTGATTGCAGGCAAGATGATTTCAAGGAGCTGCCCGTGAAGATAACGGGGAGATTCCTGCCGCTTCTGTTAATCACCAACACTTCACGCACTGATGTGCTAATAAGTATAGTCACACTTAATCAGGGCCGACAGCCTCCTCCCTCCTCCTCCTCCTCCTCCTCCTGGGGCCGGGAGGAAAAGACAGGAGGGCGACATCCACTCCACAGGAGAGGTCAAGAGACCGTGCAAGAGGCAAGAGGCCTTGCAAATGAATACTATCATTATACCTCCCCAAGGAGGGGAAACAGAATGCCGTGGTATTAGGAAATGTCTCCACTGGATGCTCTGGGCGAGGGAAAGACCCACTGCCAGCCTTCCGTTCTCGCAGTCGTCTGCACGATGCTGGGACAGACACCGCTTCCACAGACACAGGCCGCCAACAATCCTGGCAATTCTTCCCAGTCACAAAGGACTTGGTCCTGAAGATCCATCCGATCACCTCACACACACACCTGCATTCCTGAGATGCCTTTCATCTTACTTGCTGGCTGGGGAAGCTCAAGTCCAGAGGCTTCTTTTGTGACTTTCCTGTAACAGGGTTTAGTGGCCAAAGCTCCTGGGCGAGGAGATGGGAAGCCCAGTTCTAAGGTCAGTGGGCCCTGGGGACTCACTGTGTGACCAATGGCAGCCTACTCCTCGGGCCCTCTCCTTCCCCAACTACACAACGGAGTCGATATTGACCTATACAGATAGAGAAAAAAGGAAAATTGAGGTCAGAGTGACTTGGGTCATTGAGAGTTGAGGAGCTCTCCATACCCAAATGACAAGTGCTGTAGACTATCATCACAAATAGGTTGTTGGAGAACAAAGCTACTCCTTATTATGCAAATTCCTGATGGAAAAGAGTAAAGTGGAGTGGTTAAGAGTCAGACTCTCCGGGTTCAGTTCCACTTATTATGACTTATATGTCCCTTAAACGTCTGTTTTCCGGTCTGTAAAACGAAGAGCGGGAGACACCTGCCGCAGGCACGAAACAAGGTAACTCACACGGAGAGTTCAGAAGAGTCACAGGCACATAGCAGGGAACCGAAACAGAGGACTCCATATGAAGCGAGAACTGGAGTAACCCAGAGTCCTAGAGGGCTAGCAGGTGGTATGCAACCTTCCTGCCATCTCTGGCTAGCTAGCTCCTGATGGAAGCCTTAGAGGACAACCGCACTGGCCACGGGCGTGAGCCACCTGTGTGAGGATCCAGATACGGAATCACGATCGTGCCAGAGCGAGGCACAGGGGCCCTCCAACAGGAAGGTGGAGACCCCGGACCCATCCTGTCAGCCCACAGGAGGAGACAACCCTGCTCTCCAGCAGGGAGGTAAGGGCAACAGCCACCTTAGGAGCCTGGCATGGGGAACGTGCCATGGGTCCGCACACAGGGGCCATGGCGTGGTCTGAACAGCTACACCCAAAGCCCTGACGCAGCGTGGAGCTCCTCTGAGGTTTTTCTACACTATGATCAACACGAAGGCTCTGGAGAACATCTAGGCCTGCTGGCTGCCAGTCCAGAGATCTCCCTTGTCGACCTCCAACTATCCCCAAACATCCCTGCAGGACACATTTCCCCGGGGCACACAGTCCCTCTCCCCTGCCCTCCTCCCTTCAGAAGTATTCCTCTGTGACCGGCCAATTAAAACTCTTTCCCAAGCTAACTGTCTCCTCAGACCCAGAGTGCCTTACAAGATGGTAAGTCTAACCAGGAGAAGTGTGCAAGACCTTTGCAGGCGGGCCCCCCACCTCCCCAAGTCTGCTGGCTTTCCCTGCACCACTCACTCGTCTCTACTGGCTGGGAATCCGGCCCTTCCACCCCATAGCTCAGCAGCAGCGGGGCTCACAGGCCAGGCTGTCTGGGCACGTTCCTTCAGCGGCATGGCTGCAGGCCAGCAAAGGGCCTGAGAACCCACTCTTCCCAGAGCTACAGTCTCAGCAGGTGAGGGAAAAGGCGACACGGGAAATAGAAGAGCCAGAGATCCGAATTAGCTCCGAGAGCCAGGAGACGGGGAGCAAGCTGAATTGATAGGGCGCCGGGTGACCGTCACTCCTTTGTCACTGGGTAAAAAGAACTTAATTCTGTGCTTGGAGTTGGAGGTCAAAGAGAGTTCCAGTGGGTGCTGCCCCCCGACTCGGGTCGCCCCCACTGTGCTCGATCTGAAGGCAAATCAAATACCCTTTACCTAGGTCTTGCCGCTCAGAGTGCTTTCGTTCCCCACTAGCACTTTCGTCCGCTAGTCTCGTGGACACTAGCCAGCGCCTATTCACGGGACCGTGGGCAGGTGGTTTCAGCTCTCCGAGCTTCCATTTACTCATCTGAGACACGGGGGGTGAAACTTAACTTGTCTTCACTCCGTCACAGAGGTTTTATAAGGATCAAGTAAGATGAAATACTAAAGTACTTGGTAAACGATAACGTGCCATTTGTGGCTGTCATAAATCCCCAGGCCCACGTGGTCCGGGCCCCGGACGGACCTGGCGTCAGCTGGACAGCTGGGCCACTCAAAGTGAATTAAAAGGGGATTGCAATTTTTGGTTGCACCTGTCAAAGCACATTACAGATGATCCAGTTCTTAACTCTCAGGGACGCTTTGCATTTCCCAGATCCCCTGCATCTCGCAAAGCTGTGGAAGAGCCTCTCAGCATCCCAAGCCTTACGTGCTCATCCGCAGCCCCTCTGGCTCTTCTCTCTCTCCCACTGCCTCCTCCTCTCCAATACAAAGCTCAGCTTAGCCCCACTTACACACTCTGCACCCCACTGTACTGTATTACCTAGCAGTGAAGTCTGGCAACTTGCACATTCCCTTTCTACCTTTCCAGTTCTAGCTCCTTCCATGCAAATTCCATGATTTGCATTAAAAGGCCTGGGAACAGGTGACCAAGGGCACCAATCTCCACAGAGGAAGGAGCTAAATCAGCAAAGTAGGATCCTCCTTATGAAGACAAGGTGGGTGGGTGGGTGGACTGGACGCATATATTGGTAAACCTGGACCCTGTCACGTATTATTCTCCTTATGCCCACTTGACAAGGTGCCTACAAATCTATTAAAGATGCTTTACGGTAGATGATGTCACACAGTATCCAGGAAGGGGTACACAGGAAGGGATTCGGAAGTCGTCCTCACAGAAAGCTGCGCTCGGTGGGTCTGTGACCAGGACGGCAGACCTGAATGGAATCTCAGAGGCACAAATAAAGCGTTTTCCAAAATCCCTTCTCCGGAGAAAATAGTTCGCAGGGTATTACAGAGATTACATGGCAAAAGCACAATTCCGTGGCTGAATCAGCACGCGAAACGCTGGGTTAAGCAGAGTTAAAGGGGTTTCTTGAACTTTAAGACTTCCAAGCAAATTCAAAGATAGTTTTAACGTGGAACAGATCGGATGGTAAATTATTTCACAAGAGACATTTTAGGAAACTCTGCTTTTGACTCTCTTCCTTGTTTTACAGACAAGGGAGCTGAGACCCACAGGGGACAGTGACCCACATAACATGCCTCAGGGCTCTCGTAGTGGGTGCGCACAGAGGGGGTGAGACCCCAAGTTTCTAACCCCAGTTTTGTGTTAAATATCTGGAGAAGTGATAGAAAAAGCCACCTGCCCAACTGCCAAAGTTGCATTTCCTCAAGCATCAAGGTTACCTTCCCCAAAATAGCCACCCAGGGCCACCAGCCTCGCAGCCGGAGTCCACACTCCACTCCACGTGTCATGATTTGTAGGCCCCCAATCGATATACAAACTCATGACGAAAGGTCACTCAAGTCAACAGCTGTGCTTCTTGCCTACCATACGCCAAGGTGAGCATCGCTCCTGGGGTGATCCACCTGTCCCGCTCCAGAGCCCTCATCCCATGGTGGAGACCTCTCCAGGTGTGCGCGTGTCAGAGGAAAATAAAAAATGACCGATGACTGCCCCTTTACCTTCTTCTTGGATTTAAAGACGTTACACCTGAAGATGTTGCTGGCACCATCTCGAGCGATGTAGCTGAAGATCTTCAGGTCTTGGGAATCGTGAGAGACATAGAAGATCCTACGGGAAGAGTAACAGAAAAAGGCATCGAAGACGGCATTAGGTTCGAATCTCCAACAAGGCCACCTGTGTGTAAGGACGCGCCGAGGACGGCGCTCACGGCTTCCTGTGAAGCCACAAGCAGGCGGCACTGTCAACGGGCCCCAGGAACAACCTGGCGACTTGCATCCCAGCATCTAGAGGGCCCACCTGGTCCCACGCACGTTGGGCTGCCACTTAGCAGAGAGAGGAGGGGATCTGCAGTCGTAGCGGCCACTTTGCCACTGAGGGTCCCCGGCAGGGCTACCGGGAGGCCGAAATAACGAGCAAAGTACCTTCGTACTTTCACCAACACGGTCCCTCAAGAGCCTTGTTACCGAGATGGTCGCCGAGGACCCCAAGAGCCCAGGAGGGACACCCGGAAGTGAAGTGGATACAGAGGATGGTCCTGGCAAGAAAGCCCAGGTCCCCTTGGGGACCACGTGTCTCTGCCCGCTGCGGGGGGGGGGGGACTTGTGTCAGGACACCTCGTGTGTCCCCTGGCTGTGAATGATGCAGGTACAAGGTGGCCCTACTTGTTTAAGGTGGCTTCCAGGAAAGGGACATGAAAGGGACGGCCAACCATGGTTCCTCGGCACCTGCTGCCTTAGGATCCCCCTGCCCCCCCCAGCAGTCCTTTGAGACTGTCCCTCACCGAACGTCTCAGAAGCTTCTCCAGCCTATGGTGCCCCCCACTGAATCAGCGTCCTGGTGATCCTCCGGCAGACGAGGCCTGGATGACGGGCCCAGATCCACACAAGCCGCAAGCCGGAGCAGCCCGGGCCCCCCTGCCTGGTCCTGGCGGCCGTCCGTGCAACACGGCCTCGAGATGTGGTTCTGTCCCCCCTCCACGGTACCGCCGCCCACAGATCCTCCTTTTTCACCCGGAGTTTTGCAACCCGCCTGGCGTCTCTCCCTGCTTCCCAGCACCCCTGTGGCCAACCCGTTCTCCTCCTTGCCAGTAAAATGGTATTTTTAAAGCCACAAACTACATCTCACTATTTCTTCTCTAGAAACTTCTCAAAGGCTCCCTACTGCCCTCAGCATAAAGTCCTAACTCCTGGGCACAGCTGCCTTCCCGCTTCCGTCTCTCCCCAGAGTCCTGGCCTACATACACCTGCCGCTGCCACCGCGGCGACGCACCCTTGGAATCCATCAGGACTCGGTTCAGAGGTGCCTTCCTGCCCCCCAATAGGAGCTGCTGCACCCCCTGGGCTCCCTGTGACCACAGCACAGCTCTTGCACCGTGACGTTTACGCTGGGGCTCCCTGAAGGAAAGAGGACCACGTCCTGGTGTCCCCAGTGCCAGCACGGTAATCGGCCCATGGAAGATTCCTAACGCCAGCTGAGGAGTGAAGGAGGCATCGTGCTGTCATTAGTGAGCACCTGAGACATCGGTCTGTCTGGTTTTTCACTGCTCCCCTCCGCCCCCGGGCCCGAGGAAGTAAGGTCAGTTAGTTCAGCTGAATCATACCTAAAACTCCATTTTCAAGTTTTTGATTATCACACCATGCCCCAGGGAACAAGACCTGGATTGAAAACAGGACAGAGCGGATATGAAAGAGTGGCAGGCCCACAGGACGGGCGGACACGGCAGGCAAGCCAGGAAGGGCAGCGAGCGGAGGTTGACTTTCCCTTGGTGGACAAAGCACCTTTCCAGCAAATGTGAGGCCAGCCGGCGTGCGGACACAGTCCCCGTGGATCAGGGCTCTTTGGAGATGGCTCTGCGACCCAATGTGTCATTATTAAAGATAAATAACCAAAAAAAAAAAAAAAAAGATAACCTCCAACCAAAAAAGTCAGCTAGTTGGAGATTTAGAGAAGTGTCCACCCACAGAATCAAGTGGTAGAAAGTTTTGTCATGTGACCTCATTCACCAGCAAATTAATCATCCAACCGAGTAAGGCCGCAGGTCCCAAATTCCAGATTGAGACACATGTTCCAAGAACCCTTATTTCTCCATACCCTGGTTTTCCTAAGAACTGTGACTGTGTGTGTCGGGGGTGAGGCAGGAGGGGAAGCTAAGACGAGCGCTCCAGTGACGAAGGAAAGCCTTTTCCCCTTCTTCATCTTCAAGCCTGGTGCAGTCCTGACCCTGCTTCCAGAAAGTATCGCAATTTTCTGCTTTCAGTATAATTATCAAAGGTGGGATACCAGAGCGGTTCACTGTACGGTGAGATGGTAGTAACAATGATTACTAAGGTTTTGTGAAGTTTTGCTCCCCTTTCACATTTCTTCAGATTTCTTGTTTTTACTTTAAAACACACATCGGATTGTAATTTTCACCTGCTAATGGAATGGTTATGCTTTAAAGCTATAGCAAGAGACTTTTTTTTCTTCTTTTTTATATTTATTTATTTATGATAGACATAGAGATAGAGAGAGAGAGAGAGAGAGAGAGAGAGAGGCAGGCAGGCAGGCAGAGACACAGGCAGAGGGACAAGCAGGCTCCATGGTGGGAGCCCGACGTGGGACTCGATCCCGGGTCTCCAGGATCGTGCCCTGGGCCAAAGGCAGGGGCCAAACCGCCGAGCCACCCAGGGATCCCCACAAGAGACTTTTCTAAGGGTTGTTCCATCAATGACTGAAATAGAAACAGGATCCCGGAGAAACTGCATGTGGAACTTATCACAGAATTCAGGCTGACGGAGTGATGAGCCACCAGGCCCACCACCAACACCCCCTTCCCCTTGACTATTAATCTAAAGTAAACTTGTTTCTCTCAAGAGCACAGGAGTTAAAACAGAACATTGCAAAGACACCTTGCATGGTCATCAGGTCTGGACCCAACCCGGCGTCCCCGTCGCTCAGGATCTGTCGGCAACAGACAATTCACTCCCTGATAGAGCACCCCCTCTTCGGGACCTTCTCATTACTTGGCAATTCTTGCTTACTTTGATTCGAGATCTACCCACAGGAATGCAGCAGAGGGAGATGGTTGAAAAATGCTGGCCCGGGTGTGGGACAGACCCGGATCCTAGGCCCGGGCTCGGCCACTTACTGGTGGGAGATCCTGGTTGTCATTTCCCTGTGGTTCTTGGCCAGCAACACGGGGACGATCATAGCGCTGTACCTCACCCTCGGGGCCTGGAGAACGAATGCACGCAGCGAGAGGAGCTTATAGCAGTAAGGGGTCCGCGAACAGTCAACGCTCTTATTACTCCACACCACTGCCCTACTCCACCCTTCGGGGCCTTAGAGGATAAAGCTAATCCTTTTTCCAAAGGGCAACCCCTTGAGTATTTAGAAACAACCGCCATCCTTCTATTTATTCCCCTCGCTGTTAAGCTGACATGTTACCTCTTCTTTTCGAAGTTCTTGCACGGACCCATTTCCATCACTCACTGCTCCAGCGCTTGCACTGGGGGCCGTGGGTGACAAAGATCTGGGCTCAAGTGTTAGCATTTTCCACTTCCCAGCTATTGACCTCAGGCCAACTCCTCCATTGACGTAACCCCTTTCTCCCCATTTAATAGGAACATTAACAATCTCTTCGCAGTACTAAGTATTAAAACACACCCCCCACACACACATTTAACACAATGCCAGCACGCGGCGGGTTGCTTGCCCCAGTCAACAGGAGTTCCCTCTTCCTTGTCAACCTTTTCTGCACATACCCCAACTCTCCAGTGACTCTTTCCAATGCCACAGAACTGAGTCACGTTCCCGGCATCTCCGAGTGTGGTTTTTTTATGTAGTTATAACATCTCACTGCTGCCGCACACTGTGGTCAACCTAGACGCTCAGAGCCGATCTGCACGACTGCTCCTGGGGCAGGTTTCCTAAGTGTACCTGGATGGTCCGTCGTTGGGACTGGCTCCTAGTGATCCTACTCCCTCTTCCAAGCTCTCGCGGACCATCCGCTTAATGATCTCTTCTATAAGTTCACTAGTGTGTGATCCCTGGACCCAGATTTTCCTCCTTCCTAAAAAGTGGGATGGATGTTTCATTCTGGCCATCTTCTCACATCCTCATTGTGACTTAGGGTGGTACAATCTCATTAGGACCCCAAGACCCAAGTGCCCGAGGCCCAGATACACTTAAGGGAGGGACACCTGTTTCCTCATGATTATTAAACATTGGGTTTTCTTTTTTAAAATTTTTTATTTATGAGAGAGAGAGAGAGAGCGAGAGCACACGAGCGTGAGCATGCTCAAGCACGAGCAGGAGGGAGGGGTAGAGGAAGAGGGAGAAGCAGATTCCCCACTGAGCAGAGAGCCTGATGCAGGACTCAATCCCAGGACCTTGGGATCATGACCTGAGCCAAAGGCAGACACTTCACCGACTGAGCCACCCAGATGCCCCTAAACATTCTATGCTTTAAGTCACCCGTGTTCTGGTGTTTCTAGTTTGAAGATCAGATAATCCTCTACTGAAGAAAGAGAGAGAGAGAAATGGAATCCACAGATGTAGAGTGAGGCTTAGGAGCTTCTCCATGTCCCGTACTACTGTCCCCTGTGGGATTTCTCTCATCCTTAGCCTTTTCCAAGAGCCCTCCGCACCCAAAGCATAGCTCGGTCCATCGTGGCTGCTCCTTTGTGCTCACATTTGTTTTTAACCTCTGTCACACTGTGTACTTTTTAAGGAACACTGTATAAAAATACGGGTAGCCGCATGATTTTTCTCCATGGGCTTACATTTTTGGGACCAACTGGAATCACTTATGTTGTACTTCTGTCCTCAAGTGCTCATCCTTTACTGCCTCTCAGTCTCCAGCCCACAGTCACCATCCTTCTCTCTGGATATGATGACCTCTAAAACAGCAGGGTCACCCCCCTACCCAACCTGCTGTTAGGGCTCTGTCCTGCTGTCATCTCCCTGGGCACTGCCTGCCGGCTTTGGAAACTACTGGCTACAGAGAAGGTGAAAAGTCATGAGCAAGGATTCCCGAGTCTACATACATGCTCCTCCCATGCAAGACCCACAGATGTAGAGTCCCACACAAGGGCCCCACACCTCATCCTGCTCATAGCCTGCTGGCC